ATTTTGCTCTTTGAATAAGTGGGACATGTGTCAGATTCCTTGAAAAGGCATGGAAGATTGTTTCAAAATAAACATCAGTCTGAGATAAATGTTTTTTTAGGTCTCTTGTATGTAAGTAGATGCAAACACTTTTCATACACGCTAGAAAGTTCAGCTAGAGAAAACAAATACAAACTTCCTTTAGAATATTCTTCACAGAAGCATTGTTACTCTTAGGCAAATATGTAGGTAGAAAAAAAAAGAAACTTGACCCGATCCCTATTATAGCTCAGATTTAGTTCTAAGTTACGTGTTCTCCAAATTGAAGTCTGATCTTCGTGAAAAGAGATTTAATGGTGATAATTGTGTGAAAAGAGATGTTACGTAACATTCTCAGAACAAATCTCGAGGGCATATTTTCAAGGGTTCCTTAAATGATGTGAAAAGAGCACGGTGGTAAAAGGATGTAATTGCTGAAAAACGAAACTACGAGTATTACAGTCGTCTTTGTTTCTATAAAAGGTTTAACTTGCTGTAAACTTTTAGATCTACCTACTATATGCTTGTTTTGATTCTAAAGAATGCTGTTAAATAAAAATTTTGGAAACTCATTCACGCATGTCAGCAAAAGAAAACAACTCTAAGTAAATAGCCATTTTGTGAAAACAAAATAAAAGCTGTTGTTTTGTAAAACCATTTAAGTAGTTAGAATATGTTGGTTTCGGAACATGTGGCGCTTTAGTTCTCAGAGGGCGAAGCCTACTGAGGCGCTCATAGACGGCCATTACGGGCTTTAGTTTTTATGACGTCATCCTGCATTGCAACTGTTGGCGTCATTCACGTGTTTCATTGACTTGTTTAGAAAAGGTTCTGCGTCATGGCGAACGTCAGCGTGCTGTTGTAATGCCATCTTAGATTCTACGCTTGTCTCGCCCTATTGACGTAGCATTCTGTTCTGGAGGAAGCTCTACTTCATACCAGATTGCATCTTGACTTGACACTCTCCTTCGAGAACATTAAACTACGGTCCCTACAGGGGAATAGTTTGCATTTATAATTGGTTACCGTAGATCCTGACCAAGGCTTATATAAAAGACGCTGGGTCTTTTTCCGCCATATGAATATTTCTGAAGGCCTGCAAAAGAAGAAATTGACAGGAGGCCTATTTGTCGACATAGCCAAATCCTTCGATCGCGTTTAGATGGATGCCTTAATTTACAAAATACACAAACTGGGCTTCTCAGATTACTTTATACACATAATTAAGTTTTACCTAACAGACGCACTTTGTCATTCTTATTTCAAACACATATTCTACTAGCCGAGCTATTTTAGCATGTGTACTACATAGATCCCTATTGGGTCCCGCATTATTTAACATTTATGTGAACGACATTCCTTGCACACCGAACACTACACTTGCAATGTACACTGCTGTCAGAGCGATCCTTGCACAAAATGCATTGCTAAGTCCAGTTATTCACCACCTTCGAAGCCACATACAAGCAATAGAGACTTGGCTAAAGCAATATAAAATCCAAATAAACGTTGATAAAACCGTTGCAGTAATAGTTGCGAAGAATAAAAACGTCGTCAAGCGTCTTAATCCGTCACGGTCTTCACACATACGTGCTGTTATTCAGAAGTTTCGACTACGTAAAGCTAAATTCTACTTCTTAATCGCTCGAAACAGCGTTATATCTATACACAACAAGCTACTCGTTTATAAAATCATTCTGCGTCCCATGCATGTGCAATCTGAGTTTACTCTTGTCGAACAAACAGAAAACAGTTTCAATCAGCGCAGAACTCTGTTCTGCGTCAAATTGCCAACGCATCCTGGTATGTGCGAAACAATGTTATCCATGAAGAACTGAATATTGTACAACTCCGCACTTTCTACTAGCGCCTGGCCAGAAAATTCCATGTTCAAATGAGAAGTATCTCGAACTCTGAAACCAGAATCAACAGGTATAATTACAATAATATGAAAAAAAAAAAAAAAAAAAAAAAAAAAAAAGACGTATGATAATTTTAAACCCCAGCATTTAAATGAAAGTGATGTATTGCGTGTTCTCTCTGAAAGCAGTAATAATTTTGGGTTGTATGTACCTCAATGTAGTATTTCTATTTGCATTTGTGTTTCTTATATCTTTTGCGTAAATATGTTATTACTTACTGGCATTGGGTGATTAGCATATACCTCATGAATTATGCACCAGCTCAGTACCTTTTGTTTTCCCCTTCTCACAGTTTTAGCATTCTAAATTCAATTAAAAATTATTAATATTTAATCATTATTTAAGACAAATAAGTTATTGGCAGAATTTAATTCGTAACTTTCACTTTGATTCGATTAAGGGTAGGGTCTCCCACACAGGCACCTTGGTGTTTGACACCGTTAAACTTGACTGCACGCATTTTCCGTCATTTCTGCCTGTGCTGTTATGTTACATGCTCTTACTTTTCATCTTCCTCTTTTGAACCAAGACGTGTTATTCGAGGTCTGTTGTTATGTTTTTCCAGATTGCCTCTCAGTCGCCATTTCAGTTGAACGCATTCGTTGTAATGTAAGTAATTAATTTTCTATCCTACCGATGTGACTGATCCTACTACTTTTTCAACTATTATTTATTGAGATTTTAGTAAAATATAAGACCTAATGTGAATCTTCATAGTAGCTATTTATTTTGTGTTTTAGTATCACCGATCACGCATTTCTTAAATTATCTGTAGCGTGTTTTCTTTTTACTAATGTAAATCTTCTTAGTTAATTATTTTTTCAGTTGATCACTATTTCATGTTTTAATATTAGCGATCGCGCATTCTTTAAATTATCTCTAACATGTTTTCTTTTTATTAATGTAAATCTTCTTAGATAAATATTTTGTTAATGGATCGATATCTTATATGTTAATGTTACACATCGCATATTTCTCAAATTATTTCTAGTATGTTTTCTTGTTACTAATGTAAATCTTCTTAGTTAACAATTTTTTTCGAATTTATCAATATATAATATGTTAATATTACTGATCACGCTTTTCTTAAATTATCGCTTGCATGTTTTCTTTCTACTAATGTAAATCTTCTTAGTTAAATATTTTTTTAATATCTCATGTTTTAATGTAAATATTACTCATTGAGTATTTCTTAAATTATCTCTGGCATGTTTTCTTTTACTAATGTAAATCTTCGTATTTAATTACTTTTTTTCAGTTGATCAACATTTTGTGTTTTAATGTTACCTATTGCGCATTTCTTAAATTAGCTGAAAAATGTTTTCTTTTTACTCATGTAAATCTTGGTTTATTTTTTACAATTATAACCAGACTGCCTTATAATTTTTGAAAGTTTCGGTACTATGTTTGCTAGCGTTTTTTGTCATTTTTCGTCGCTTAACTCTGTTCATAAAAAGATTTCGTTAATAATTTTTCATAAGCATTAAAGATTTTTTTAGAAGGTACGTACAACCGAGACTATGCTTTTAAAGGATAATACTGCTCAATCACAAAGCAAAGTAAATATATTTCCTTTTTGAAAAAGTGCATGTTTCAGAATTTGTGAGTGATTATACTTTTTTGGCACTTTTGTATTTTTTAGTTGGATCCTGAATATGCATTTGAACATGACGATATGCCTTTGAATGATCATGTGATTGCTGTCGCGGATTTTGGAGATTTGTGACCTTGTAGAGACATTAGGTTATTTTGAAGCAGGAGAGATGAAAAAGGAGCAGTGCCCTTCCCTGGATTCGAATCACGTACCTCTCGAATACGTCGAGTGTGCTGACTATTACACCACGAAAGCATGCTAAGAAGGTGGGACAAATACCTTATTACCTTCACAGCTGAATTCACCTTTTATTCAAACCTCTACTTTGACTCGCCTTGAATGCCCTAAAATAATTGCACACCAGAGAAGCTTGATAAGACACATTAATGTGCAACATTCAACAGGCGGAAACATTTGCCGTGTCTACAAGAAGGAATTCTACCGCAAAGATAGTTTAGTGCGACATATGAAGGTTCATGCTGAACCACCAAAGCCAGGACCGTCTCGTTCAGTGAAACGAGTAGCTTGCCCCTTCACCATGCTTGCTCCTAAACGACTCCATCAGGAGCATCCACCATGCCTGGGTACGTTTGAAACCAAGGTCATTTATCCGAAGAAAGGCAGCAACAAAGACTTGCAAGAGATTTTAGAATTGTCAAAAACTGAAGTCGTGGCAAGATTGAAAAATATGCCACACAACTCCAAGGGATTACATGATATTTGAAGGCTTGAGTGAAGATGATCGGAAAAGTGTCGGAGACAGAGGAAGAAACATGCGCAGCTTATTTTAGGTCAGAATGTAACACCCTCCTCACGGGTGAAGTGCCTGACTTGCAAGCAGCTATTGAAAAGTTAAGAAAATAGGAAATGAAAGTAAGATTATGTGAATCGTAATTTATGTTATATACAATGGGCAAAACAGAAATTAGTATCACTCACAAAATATTTTATTTTACAAGTGTTGGACTGTTTGGAGAAGTTTCTAAGAAAACGGTCAGGATGGCTTCTAGATACCGTCCAATATCTTGAGTTCAAGAACTCTGTCTATAAACTCTTAGTGGCCTCTTCTTATGTACATCTACTGAAAGCCTTAGTTAGCAAGCAAGCTGTTCTCAGCATACAGAATTAGGACCAGAACTGTCTTGTGTGGAGCGTCTTCGCGTACCCTTAACCCTATAGAAACTAATGCACATCATATTAGTTGTTATAAATCCTATGAAGGAGAAATCACAGTAAATGGCTTATCTGTTCTTACTCCTATCCACCAGTTCAACAAGTTCGAAAACATAACTAATGTGTCTACCAACGTGTTCGGTTGGGAAAACAACGAGATTTTATCTTTTCGGATAACCAGTAATCGAAAGATAATTTATCATTATTTTATATTTTTCGCAACCATGTTTTAACATATATATTTTGCTGAGAATTTTAATTATTTTATTTAATGATATTTTTCCTTTTTTAGTTGACTTCTGACTGAGTTTTTCCAAAACTTCAGAAGGCTGTGCCTTGATTTCTGCAAACTGCAAAGTGGATGCGGCATATGTCTATACAGCACCTGGCCTAGCTTAGCAAGCTGCCTTAAGCATGTCCGGTATCAAACTGGAGTTATTTCCCGATCCAGATATGTGTTTGCATTATTTGGAAAGGGCATTTGGGCAGGCATCGGTATGATCTCACACTGATTCAGCCAAGCCAATAATAAATATATGAAGAATTATGACCCAAAAATGCATTCATCTTAAATCATGTATTTGGATGTCCATAACTTGCATGGGTAAGCACTCTTTCAAATGTCTAAATTTAATAATTTTTTTGTTATTTATTTGTGATATTAATTATTTTAGTCTATGATTTAGGTGGATCATGAACTACACTTTACCAACTCATGATTTTCAGTGGCATGACGGACATTTCAGCTTCATGGAGATTGCTGACGATGCGGAAAAAAGGATGTATTCTAGAAGCTGATCTTGACTACTATGCAAGCGAATTTTACGATAATCATTTCGACTATCCTCTTGCTCGTAAACAATTTGTCGTGATTCCTGATATGTCCATACAGCATCTGGCTTGCAACATTCATTGGCTTTAATACTAAGTAGCGTCAATTAGTCAAATCCTCGTTCCGAAAGGGCTTATTTAAACAATTAAACAACTCGGTTTTTGGGAAAACAGTGGAAAATCTCTGTAAACGTACCTGCACTGATCTGGATTAACGAAAGCAACGAAAGAGCCAAGAAGTTGGTCGCTGTTCCAATATTTCACTCATTCAAGATCATTAAGGATGATCTGGCAGTCACCGATCGACGAGAAACCTTTTGATTCTCAACCAACTTATCTAAGTAGGCTTCCATATTTTGGATTTATCGAAAACACAGATTTATGAATTCAATTACGGATATATCAAGAAACACTGCAGATCCAAGGCGCATTTGCTATTCACAGACATAGACAGTCTTTGTTATGAAACAGAAATTGCCGATGTTTGCAAAGATATGGCCTACAATCTGAGCTTATTCGACACCTCAGACTACCCGGAAAATTATGCTTTCTACTGCCTTACAAATGAAAAGGTAATTGTTAAAATGAAAGACAAAGTGTGTGGACAAATTACCCAAGAATTTGCCGGGCTCAAACAAAAAGTATACTGCACTGAGAAGAAAACTGCTAAGGGTGTAGCGAAAACAATTCTTAAAAGACAGATTCGTCACCTGGGCTATATTAACTGTCTTATTTAACAACAACGTGGTCTTGCCCATGCTCAATGTATTGCCAGTCTCATCAGATAAAGACTGTAGCTTATACGAGAGCTGCTTAGTGCCCTTTCGATATGAAACGGTATCTTTTATAAGGTGGGACATTGTTCTACGATTATGGACATTATGCCATATAATTTTTAGTGTAAATAGTTTTATCTCTGTACAATCATATTTTTAAATTTTTAATTATTTTGTGCTGTGAATTTAGTATGTTTGAAATGTCTTTACCCTTAAAAATATTTATTTAAATAACTTTTAAAATAAAAATATTTTACGCATAAATGTATAATTTAGTATGTTCATGTTTCGAATTTCGAACAAATAAATAATGTTACTTGAAAAAAACTAACTCTTAAATAAAAGCGAGTTTTTTAATATTTTCAATTACGGCAAGTAAAGTTTTTTCAAAAAATGAGAAGTTAGAATGAAGCATTTTAAAAGTCTGGTAGAGCAATTATAAGTAGAATAGATTTTTCAAATAAGACTTAGTTGACATGGAACACTTAAAACTAAAGCATGCTTTCACAATATTAGCTGTCGGCCCTAATGGTAGCGGAAAGAGTGTATTTATTAAAATATTAATTGAGCATCACATGATTACTCCGTTTCCTCCCAAAACTATTTGGTGCTAAATCTTTACAATGAGATGAAGCATATTGAATTAGGTGACGGTTTGCTTGAAAATATTCACACTTTATCAATTTCTCTGATTATTGTTGATGATTTTATCTTAGAACTCGGCAATGATGTAAGAGTGACCAAGTTATTTACCAAAGGATCTCATCATCGAAATCTATTTTCGTTGTTGTTATTTCGGTTGTAAAACATGCACTTCATAAAGGTATTTGGGTTTGAACATTAATTATTTAGTGCTCTTTAAAAATACAAGAAACAAATCTTAGATCCTGAATCTAGGAAGGCAGTTATATCTAGGAGAGAATAAGTTTTCTCAAGAAGTGTATCAGGATGCTACTTCAAAATATGGCAGTCATTTTCTGGTTGACCTTCCCACCTGAAATATCTGATTCATTGTGTCTGAGAACGAGATTTTTTCCAAGCGATAAATACTACGTATATCAACCTCGCTAGTCATTTGGTGGTGAGACGTCAATGAATATGTCTGGGGTGATAGGTGTTCAGCATTATTTCAGGCCAGTTTGTTATTAAAGGAAACTTGCAGCGTTTCCCGTATGAGACCCAATGTTTTGCGGCAGATTAACCTTTTATCCCCCATGCTCCTTTGAAATGTCGGCAAGAGAAAACAACTCACGTTTTCACGGGTGTCTTGGAGTATACGTCATATGGATTGGACGTGTGAAGAAATGTCATATTTAATGCCCAAGTTGTTGTTTCGTTCATCTAAAATGATATTTGTGAACAAAATATCACACAGCACCAATTAGAAAAACTTAAAGTCATCTCCACAAGTAAATTTTCAAGTTATTCGCAAATGCTCCAACAATGTCATAAAGAGTGTGCCTTAAACTTACTTCGAGATCATCTTTCCATTTTCCCAATGCGAAACGTTCAGTTATCAGCATACGAGGGAAGTTTATGAAAACTTGCTAATAAAGAAAGCATTTCTGTGTAAGGACAGAAGACTGCTTGTGCAAAGAGGGGAGAGTTTTATAAGTGTTCTCTTGCATGTGGTTATTTCTGTTATTAGCTATCTTATTCATGGAGTTTAGTAAAGAACTTCTCATTGTACCAGAAGAATGATGACAAACGATTGAATGTCTTATGGATGAGAAATGGTTAGAATTGGAAAAAAAAGACCTTGACGAATGTGAAAAGAAGCCTTTTAGCTGCAAGTGTCATAGAAATATATTACTTATCAATTACTGCCACCTCTTTATAAAACAGAGAAATTCTACGGAAAAGAAGGAAGACTGTTTCATAAAGAAAGAAGATATTTCTGCTGAAGACGATTTGAGAAAGATGGTGGGAATGTGGTTCCTTTAAAGTACAAATACCAAACAAAACACATTCATCATCATGTGAAGAAACATATTTCAGCTCGAGGTGAGATCATTTATCTGGATCAAGTTGTTCCAGGGACTCATGTTGCGACACTCATAAATCAGTTTTTAAGAAATAAGAAAAAAATCCCTTTGTTAGACAAAATGAATATTATACTCTGTTAAAAAAATTGGGTTTACCTACTATGTACAACGTTCATAACAAAGTATAATCCATGTACCCTCAAAGAAATGTATACCTTAAATATTAAATAAAGCAATGTGAACTTGATATGTATGTCTTTAATGTTTTCTTAGAAATACCGTAATTGCCTCAAATTAAAAATAATTACGATGACTGAAAAGATTTTTTCTAAGAAAGCAACGGAAAAGTTTTATTCACATTTTTTCTGAGACGAAAAAATCTTCAATCTTGCTAAGACAAAAAAGACACACTCATATTTTTGAATTGAAAAAGTTTCTTTTTTTTACTCTTATTATTTTTAGGGGGAAAAATTTCCACTTTATCTATGGGAATATGTTCATTTCAAAATGTAAGAAGAAAAAGTTACACTTTGATTTTACAGAGTCGAAAAAATAAAATATTTGTTTAGACTGAAAACGTTTTACTTGTGTTTTTCCTCGCATGAAAAGCTTTCTTGTGATTATACATTACCCGACATTGAAAATGCAACACCAAGAAGGGGTGGCCAGAAAGGGATGAAACTCGAGAAACAGAGAGACACAGCAAGGAACAATAAGTGATCTTTATTTCGAAATGATATGCATAATACAGAGCGAGAACAGCATCGGCTCAGTACGTTGTAGGACCACCTTGGACGGCTGTACATAAAGCAGCACGTCTAGGTACAAAGTCAATGAAACTACGGAAGGTGTCCTTAGGAGTAGCTCTTTATTTCGTATCAACCATTTGCCACAGTTCGTCTTCTGAACGAGGAAAAGGCAGGTTCCGCAAATAGCGTCCAGTGACATCCCAAATGTGTTCAGTTAATGAGAGATCAGAAGAGAACGATGACCAGGAAAGCATCTATACAATCTTGCAGAGCACGTTCGCTGATGCGAGCAGTGTGTGGTGGGCTTTAACCTGCTGATAAAGGGCACTGGGCACTCCCTGAAGGTAAGGGAGTGTCACCGGCCGCAGCACATCATCCATGTATCGTTGGGCCGTTATAGTGCCCTGAATACGTATTAGAGGTGACCTGGAATCGTACGCAATTGCTCCCCAAACCCTGATGCGTGGTGGGTGATCCACGTTTGATGCTGGATTAGACATGTCTCCACATCGACGCCACACTCGTACGCTGGGACGATCATTGGAGAAACAGAAGCGTGACACATCTGAGAACAGAACATTGTACCATTCTGTCTTCCACATCGCTCGGTCAAGGCACCATTGCAGACGCTGATGTCTATGATGTAGGGTCAATGGAAAATCTTCTTAATGGACGCCACGAATGTAAGCGATTAGCCACCAATCGACGGAAAATGGTTCTGGTAGATGTGAGAACATGCAGGGTGTCTTGAACATACTACAGAATGGAGGTAGAAGCATCTATACAATCTTGCAGGTTTGCCACCGCTTGTCGGCGGATGCATCTATCAATGCGTGCTGACGTCACTCTGCACCGGCACCATTCGAAGTTGCCACATTTCCTTGTTCCGACCATCGTCGCCACAGCCAGTACATTGTCGACTCGTCCAGGTGTGTGTCAGCTGGAATTTGCGGTATGGACTAACCTACCCTTCTTAGTTTGATAACTATGCCCCTCGTAAAATTGTCTGTCTGCTGGAACTGACTCCTTTGTCTACGGCTTGGCATCGTCTGCTGTAACACGCGTCCTCTTAGACAAAAACAAATTTATTATGATGATTTCCCTAACAAAAGTAATGGCACGAAAATTGAGTATTCTGCAGGTTCCTTCCCGTATATCTTCTTCAATGTTTTCTTGAGAGCTGCGCATTTCACATTATTCTCATAACTTGGTGATTATTCTTATAACTCAATTTCAGGCATCTACCCTGAAATCTGCATAATTTTCTGATTAGTCCTTCGTGGTGTTGCATTTTCAGTGTCGGGTAGTGTATTTAAAACCCAAATAATACAATTTTGTTAAATTGAAAAACAATTATACAGAGAAATGAAGCACAAAAAGACAGAAAAATATACATTTCATATATTTTAATGTTTGAAAATAATTTTTACACCATAAATTATTTTCAAATTGATACAGGTTAAAATCGCTCATTTTACAGTAAGTTTCAATAATTACATACAAATTGTGTTCTTAGCAATAACCTTCGCTTCTTTTCAGTACATCATAAATACAATATACTCCACATGCACTAGAACTCAAACTCTTAAAGCTGTCCAAAGCCTGAGGATACACTGCTGGCCATTGAAATTACAACTCCAGGAAGGAATGATCTGACGAGAGTCAAAATCATGTGAAAGGAAGAAGAGGTTGGGATATGCACATTTCAGCCCATTTAAAAAAGACTACGCAGGAGAGAGAAACGACATCTGAATATCTGCATAAAGAAAAGTTGTGTAGTGGATTTCTCTTTCGGAAAGCACTTTGTAAGGGTGGCATGTGCTCAAATAAGATGAAATGCTTACCAGCAAGGGTCCGAATGCGATAGAAGCAGGATCGTTGCTGATCGTGAGTGTGAATTATCATTCCGTCATATCGCCTGTCGCACTGGTCAACATCTAACCACTGTCATGCGAATATGGAATTAATGGGCTGCTGAGGGTCATAATTAACGGTATGAAGGATCTAACCGCCCTCCTATGCCTATCGCTAGAGAGGCCAGACTTAATGTGAGGTCAGCCCTGAAAAACAGTACAACCACATCACGGACCATTAGTCGGGAAATAGGCGTGTTTGCAGCACGCCCAGATCCGCTTGTATGGTGTATCAACGTTTGCAGCAGTGTGGACTATCAGCACGAAGACCATTACTTCGGCTTCCCTTAACAATGCAGCATAGACAGAGACGGCGACTTTAGTGCGACGAACGACAAAGCTGGATACAGGATTGGTATAACGTCGTTTTTTCAGACGAGTCCCGGTTCTTCGTGCAGTATTCTGATGGCCGTATTTCGTGTCTGGAGGCTCCGAGGAGACCGCACGTCGCCTGCTTGCATTCGATATCGGCTTAGGGGGCCCTGAACCTGGTGTAATGTTTTGGGTTGCCATTGGATGCACGACACGCAGATCTCTAGTCCGGATCGACGGTAAGTTGAACGCAGATCGGTACATTTCTGAAATCTTACATCCAGTGGTTGTGCTGCATCTTCGAGTCCTGCCAAACGCCATCTTCCAACAAAATAATGCAAGACCACATGTTGCACGTCGTGTTCTAACCTTCCTCGATACACAGACTATTCGACCGGTGCCCTGGCCTGCATGGTCTCCAGATCTGTCATCAATTGAAAACATCTGGTCATGAGTTGCTGAGAGACTGGCCCGCCATCCTTCCTCAGATAATGCGGTTGACGAAGTGTGGCATAGATTTGAAGCAGCATGGAATGAGTTTCCCGTTTCTGTCATCCAAGCCCAGATCGACTCCATGCCTAACCAGGGAAGAGCCGTTTTAGTTGCCAAGGGTGACAGTTGTTTCTACTAATTTCGCAACCCTGTAAACCCCCCAAATATCTTACAGATTTAATCATTTTACCTTCATGGCATACTGTTTACGTACAATAAATGTCTTTTTTGTATTTGCGTTCCTTCGTTGTTTTGAAGTTTTAATGGGCAGAAGTGTATATTTTGGACAGCGTACAAATCCAAACTCCACTGGAATTTTGGTGAGGTTTTCGTACTTTCTCATAATGCTTCCGCGGGTAAAGCCATTTAGGCAGGAGAAAAATTTGATGCTTCTATATTTATTATCTTGTCTTCAAAATTTTTGTAACTCAGTTTGTCGATAGCTTTCTTTTCTCGAGTGCTTAGGTTGTTAATATTCTAGTTAAAATAAAGTTACTTTGTTGGCTAGATCTCTACTTGAACTATGCAGCGACTATTCGCTAACTTCAACTGTATTAGTAACAAAACGGGGAAAGAATGGAAAAGACCCTTTTATTCAGCTCAAGAGAAGTATTTACAGTTGGCTCTCCTGGTGCTTACAAATCCACGATACACCACAATACAATAGAAACTCAATACAGAAATGTAAAATTGAAACTAGCCTAATTGAAATAATAATCCGAAGCTGCAGAGTGGTATTTTAACGCGTAGTTGACTCTTGGCCCTACCACCGAAGTAGACTAACCGTCAATTAATATGCACGGCTGTAAAATAGCAAGCTTACATACCAAAGAAACAACGTGACCAAAAGGCAGAACGCTCTGTGTCTGAAGTCACTTCGACACCAGCTCAAATAGTATCTTTCTACCATACTTCGCATACCAACCAAAACGGAAATCTTATTCTGGCAAGAAAGCGCGGCTTGAAAACAAGAGCAGTAGGAAAGTTTGCTTCAAAATGAAATTAACTTTTAAGTAAATTCATTAAATCCCTACAGAGTTATCATGAGATTCTTGGTATGGTAGCAGAGGCTGCGTTCTAGACTAAAACCAAAACTGCGATTCGGTTCCCGAGCGAAACTTGTCAGTATTTGTGTGTACCTCAGGTTGCACCACCAGAATATAGACCTATACTCTTCTCGACGACGCAGTATAGGTCTATATTCTGGTGGCGCACCCTGAGGAATGTTCTTGGTGCTGAGACAGTTAAATGAACGATGGGCTCTGCGATTCCCTACGAGTGCTTTCCAGCAAGTTTTCTCCTGTTGAAGCGGGAAATTTCATGCAGATAACAACATGTTGATTTGTCGAATTTTACTTTGATAACTTTGCATGATTATGTTTATCCTTAAGTTTGGTACATGCGTGCATATCGCAGCTATTAGTTGACAGTAAAATATTTAATGACAAAAATTCCTGAAAGTTTTAAAAAATATTTTAAATAAATTTTCCTTAACATTAATAATTATACTCCTAATACTAGTACATGCTATATTAGTTAAAGAGAGGAAAAGTATTTTTTGTTACATACCAATCAAATGGATGTAACATAATAACGTTAAAAACAATACAGATATTCTATGTAAATGTTGGTCATAAGGTTGCTAATAAACGATTCTCTGTTGCAATAAACCAATTTTACGAGTCTTGCAACGCTCACTGTGAGCGATTTTGGTAGGTTAAAATATTTTAGAAACTGATGTTATTAGAGCGAAATGGTACGGAAAAAATAATAGACGCAGT